TCTCTGCCTCTTGGAGGTAGCATCTTTCTCTTAGGATGCAAACCTTTGAGTAAAAAATTAAACGATGCATGAACAACCTCCCCCCCAAGTCTCGTATTTGATTTGTGGACATCTATATTAATATGTCAATAATTAAAAGCCTCATTTCTTATTAGTCATTTCATAGATGTGGGCAGAGAGAAACTTTGAAGGTAACGCAACAGCATACGGAAAACAGATGCTGAATAGCCAGGATTTCTGGGTCCTGATAAAAGCTTGTGAATTACTTACGTCAGTGACCTGTCCCTGAACCTAGAAGGAAGGTAATTAGAGTAACAATAGTTATTGTGAATTTAGTATGCACCAGATATGGGGCCACACAACTTAAATGTATTTGATTCCCCCAGAGTGATTCTGGAAGGTAGGTACACTCATCATTATATGCCCACTTTGTGGATAGGTAAATTGAGACTCTATAAATTGATTATAGTTGCAAAGGTGATGTCACTGGGATTCAAATGCTAAAACACTTGAGGATTTTAGCATTTAAAAAAGAAAAATAATTTAAAAAGAGAAAGGAAATAAAATGAAAGCTAGGAAGTTGAGAGAGTCAGAGAACACAGGACCCATTGCCCATGTACCTATTATGAATGGGCGATGATGTGAGGTAGAAGACTGAAAAGTAAACAAGTAATACAACTCAGATTTGCAAAATTAATAATATTAATCATAAGAAGATGAAGGATAAAAGAGAAAGGAAAAAGTCACTTTATACTTTTTTATATTCAAAATAAACTCCCTTGCCAAAACTGGTTTGGCTCAGAGGATAAAGCATTGGTCTGCGGACTGAAGGGTCCTGTGTTGGATTCCGGACAAGGGCATGTACATTGGTTGCGGGCACATCCCCGGAAGGTGGTGTGCAGGAGGCAGCTGGTCGATGTTTTCTCTTTCATTAATGTTTCTAGCTCTCTATCCCTCTCCTTTCCTTTCTGTAAAACATCAATAAAATATATATTTTTTAAAATAAAGTAAACTCCCTCCACCTTCCTTTTAAAACTATTAACAAACTTTAACATACCAATATAAAGTAATGATTTATTCCACTTTGTAACACTTTTATTTTACGTAAATATTCTTCCAACTTGAAGTTTAAATTCCCCAACAGAGCTGATTTCCCTCCAAAAGTGTCTGTCTATTTCTCCTCTAGATGTTGTCTTGTTGCAATGGATAAATTACTTAATCTTTTTATGCCTCAATGTCTTCATCTGTAAAAGGGAGAAATAGATTACCTACCTCATAGGATCTCACAAAATAGTTTCACTTAAATATGCATGAACATTTTCAGGAATCAGAAAACATGTCTGTTTAAGTATGTATTTTCCATACATTTTAGAATTTAAGAAAGATTGACAAAAGTATAGTGTGAAGCCAACTCAATAGATGCTATTTCCTGTACCTGGAAATAAATCTTTCACCTCTCACCTTTTTTTGAAGAAGTTGGGCATGGGATGGGGTGGTGGTAAATGTGGTAATGTGGACTCAGGTTGAAAGAGTACAAATATTAAAAATGTAAGATTAAATCCTCCAATGCAATGAACTGGGAATACTTCCATATTGCCAGTCTACCTATCAGAGCTTCTGAAAGTAAATTTTTCCAAAAGCTGTGGCTGATGTTTTACTTAGGAATGCCTGTTTGAAAGGTGGTGTGTGTAACTCTCAAGGTGATAGCTCTCAGAATTTGGAAAAATAATCCAATGATGAGACTGAGCAATTTCAGAAAATGAAGCATATGAAAGTGATGCAGGAAAAAGGTAGTCAATGCTGAGATAAGATCCCAGAAGTGAGTTTATCAAAGCTCTCATTTCAGCAGGAGGGGTACAACAGAGCTAGCCCAGGGGCAGGGTTCTCCCAGGGCTGGGGAACATTTCTGTTTCCTCCAGCATGCTGGGGCAATGCTAACTCTTCCATGAATCTGCTAGTTAATGCTGTGTAATAACAGGCCACTTCAAAACTTCATGGCTTAAAATGGCAATCATTTATTTGGTTTATGATTTAAGTCAGTCATCTGAGCTATGTTCATTGGACTTGAACATAGGCTTACTCCTGTGCCTGAAGTCAATATGTAGGTCATCAGGGAACTGGTTGGTAGAAGGACCTCAGCTATGGTGACTTACTTGGTTTCTCAAGGTCTCTCACCTCCAGCAAGCTGGCCTGGACATGGTCACATGCTGACAGAAGGGAAAATTTTTTCCTGGCCAGTGTGGCTCAGTTGGTTGGGCTTCACCCTGTGCAGGGAAAGGTTGCCTGTTGTGTTTACAGTCAGGGTACATGCCTTGGTTGCAAGCTCCATCCCTGGTTGGGGCATGCAGGAGATGGTAGGTCGATGCTCTACTCTCACGTAGATGTTTCTCTCTACCTCTTCCTTCATCTCTCTCTAAAAAAATAATTTAAAAATATTTTTTAATAGAGAAAAACCTTTTAGAAGGTTTAGGGACTCTATTTCTTTAAAGAGCACAAGAATATCTCATAATCAAATGTAGTTTCTTATCTATTTTGCTCTTGTAAAAATGAATAATTGAGATGAATATTTTAATGATAGATTTCAAAATATTGAACTTTATGCCAAAAATATCCATGATGAATAAAATTTTAAAAATCAAAATTTTAGATAAAGGATCAATATTACCAGTTTTTCCTTTGATCTTAGATCTCCAATATGGCTCAGCTCAGAACTATTTTAATATTTGTTCATCATAAATGTATTAATTTTTTAAAACATCATATTGAAATGTTATTTATCTTGATCACTGAGTTCTTCTGCTTCCTTAAATTTTGCTTCCAAAGTAAATGCCTCACTCACCTCACTGTAGGCCTGGCCCTGAATGTGGGATGAAGTCACCTAATCTAGTGGTGATTACCTATGAGGGCTTTGTATCCAGAATGCCTGGGTTGCATCTCGTTTCTCCATGCTGTAGCTCTCTCTGTTCATGCTGTTGGGCTTTGGGGAAATACTTAACCCTAGACTCTCAGTATTCACTTCTGTAAAATGGGGGTAAAAATATAATAGTACTTCCCCGGAGGATTATGGGGATTAAAAAGTGAGTACATGAATATATATTAAATAAACAGTCCCCAGGATATGGAAGTACTTAAAAAGTATTAGTGCCGAGGACTAAGTTATGTTTGTTCTGACTCTTTGAAATAAATATTGACAAATAGGCAAAAGGCCTGATACCACTTAGGGATCAATGAGTAAAACAATGACCTTTTTTCTACTGTTTGAGAAATAGAAGAAAACACTCAATCAGTATAGAAAGCAATAAGGTGAAAACATGGCTCTGTTATTTATTTCTACTAAACAATTGTGATGTGATCAGAATTACACACTGGCCAAAACCAGTTTGGCTCAGTGGATAGAGCATCGGCCTGCAGACTGAAAGGTCCCAGGTTCGATTCCGGTCAAGGGCATGTACTTGGTTCTGGGCACATCCCCAGTAGGGGGTGTGCAAGAGGCAGCTGATCGATGATTCTCTCTCATCAATGTTTCTGACTCTCTATCCCTCTCTCTTCCTCTCTATAAAAAATCAATAAAATATATATTTTTTTAAAAAGTATTACACACTGTGTTACTCCGATGAGAATTACCAGTGAGACTCTGAACACAATGAGTTAAATTTTACTCTAAAATTCAATAAGTCAAATTAATCATAAAGAAGTGACTACAAAATAAAAAATAGAGTTTGGAGAATGCTAAGACAGCAAATGCCACCATAAATATTCCTACTAAACATAATAGTTAGTCGTCTGTATTTGCCCAAAGAGAATTTTTTAAAATCCTTTCATATATTCTGTTTTTATTTTGAAAAAAAATTCTTTCATGATTTTTATATTTTAGATGTGGAAGAAGGGGTTATATGAAGGAGCAACATTCTCTGTGGACACAGTTGATAATAATAACAATAGTTAACATTTATGATATGTTTATTATGTATAACATACAATGCCAAATACATTTTCATAAATATGTTACATAATTGGTTTAAAAAGCCAATGAAGTGATAGGATTTTTACTTCATAGTAAAAAGGGAATGAAGAAAATATTATCTACAATAATAAAAGCATAATATGCTAATTAGACCTGATGTTCTTCTGGTCAGTCTTCTGGATGAAGCCAGGGCTGTGCGGAAAGCCTGGGTCCCTAGTTGCCAGAGGGAAGCCAGTGCCGGCAGCCTGGGGAAGGAAGGCCTACTTTTGCACAAATTTCGTGCATCGGGCCTCTAGTATTATATTATTATACTATTATACTAACATTTTCTTCATTTTCAGATGTGAAATAGGCAAAGGGAAGTAATATACATTGACCAAGATCACAAAGTAAGTGACTAAGGTGAAATTCCAACCCATGCAGCCTAAAATCAGAGTATGATCCCTAATCCCTATGTCTAAAAGCAGAATTATATCATTTCTTAGAGTCTTGCTGTTCAGAGGATGGCCCAGCGTCATCACCATCAATTGAGAGCTTGATAAAATGCAGAATGTTGGGCCCCATCTTAGACCTAATGCAATAGTTGGCAAACTCGTTAGTCAACAGAGCCAAATATCAACAGTACAACGATTGAAATTTCTTTTGAGAGCCGAAAACCGACTTCTGTGCATGGGCTACAAAGTTTCAATTGCACTGTATGTGCACACCTGCATGTGGTATTTTATGGACGGGAGCCAAAGAGCCACATGTGGCTTGTGAGCCGCAGTTTGCCCACCACTGACCTAGTGTATTAGAATCTACATTTTAGTGAGATCTTATAGTGATTCATGAACACAATCAAGTTTGAGAAGCCTCTCAGCATTTTTTTTTTTTTTGCACTAGATTATGAAATGTCTCTACTGAGAGATAATCTTCTAGAAAAAGCTTTAAGGATGTTTTCAAATCTAATTCTCTGCTCCCAACTTTATTTTGAATGTTGATTATGCCAAGGTGTTCTTTTTTTTCTTTTTCTTTTTTGAAGTGTGTTATTTATTTATTTATTTATTATTTTATGTACAAAGAGATAGCATTCTGTCATAAGGTAGATGTCTTGAATGACCCATTCACGGAAGTTCACTTAGTCCAATTTAATGAAACCTATGTCCTTCGTGTACTGAAGGAAACACTGGCAGCACATGTTGAGGCCGTACTTCCGGATCAGACTGAGGCGGTTGGAGCAGACACGGCAAGAACGAGAGCTCTGGCCGAATTTCCTCAGATGGCTCCAGTAGAGTTGCTGGTGACCCATCTTGCTCACTCTGTAGCAACAAGGCAAAAGGCGCCAAGGTGTTCTTAAATCCTTTAGAGATTATTAATTCTTCACTCAGTTTTTAAGTGTTGTGTGAAGGTGGTCCTGTCTCTATTCCTAAATGGGTTCCAGGGAAAGTACCATTCTGGTACATTCTATAAAGCTCAGAGTCCCAGAGAATGAATAGACCCAAAGCAACAAAAGTAGAAGTCATGTGCCTGACTTCACTAGCAATGTGATCCTTTCCTCAAACAACTATAGCTAATGTTTGCACAGTACTTTATAGTTTATGACAATTTTACACACAGACAGACAAATATATATTTGATTAACTTGAAGATGAAACACTTCAAATTGGAATACTTGCTTAGGATTACAGTTTTTAGGTAGTATTTGTAAAGCCCTCGGTTTGCTCATGAATCATTTCACTGCCTTTTACATAAACTAGCTGACACTGAACTTATTGAAGGGAAATTTTGTGAATATTGTCCTCAAGGGAGTATTTCACCAGGCAAGGAAAGCAGGCTAAAATCAAAGAAAAGAAAGTTGTGTCTTCCAGTTAGGGATCTCAAGTATTATAGTCATTGTTGATTTCTAGCTTTCAGAGTTTAGAATCTTAGGTAAAAAATTAGACAAACTACAGGATATACAAGGAATGAGCATATTACTTTAAATAGCATATATTGGTACACTCAAAAAATTAGTATGTACTTTGAGCTATCTCTGTAGGGAAATTCAGGAAATATGTATTAAAAAAAGAAGGCCAGAGGACATTTTTGTCAGTTAGTGAGGTGAGTTCTTATAGATATCAATTAGAGACTTCCTTCTGTGGTATAAATTGAAAGGCTTCTTTTCCAAAGTGAAAGCCATATTTGCCAAGCCTATCCTGAGTGAAGCTTACAAGACCAGAGGTTAATAGAGTGAAACAAGCCTACCCTTGAACTCTCTTATTCACTTCAATGGCCTTCGTAGGTTACTTACTGTTCGCAAGTTTCCATTCCATTCTGTAAAAACAGGGATCCTAAGAGCAAAAAGTCCAGGTTTATTGTGGGCATCCAAGGAATTTAATGCATCCTGCCTGGCATACATTAAGGCCCAATTAAATCCATTCAGTATCTATTCTAGAGCATCTACATGATGGCAGACACTACAAGCATTACAATAATAAGACAACACACCAGCAGAGACATTGGGCATTATGGACATAATCGCACAAGCAAATGTAAGATTGCTCTGAGAGCTTATACCAGGAATTGACCTACTCACAAAGACTTTGTTGGACTCAGCTAGACAACCTCAGATACTGCAGAATGTGCTGCAGATGGAGAAGCTACATAAGTGAAAGGTAGAAGGAGATATCTGGAACCCAATAGTTACATGTGAGCTCTAGCAATTTCTTTTGTGAAAACGTTCCTTGTTTGTGAGCTAGGCATCTGAGCTATGATCACATAATAAAGGAAGCCTAGATTTTTGCCAAAACATTTATGCAATTTAAAGATGGGGTGTGTCTACTGGATGACTGCATTTCAGATGTATGGGAAAGGGAGAATGACTGAACTCTTACTGTTCCCTGCTCCATTCAAAGAAGAGGAGATTTTTATTATGTCTGATTTTCTAGGATATAATGTGGTGGCTACCCTTATTTTGTGTGTGTGAGTTTTTCCCCCCAATAGAAATGAGGACAGGAAGACTGCCCTTCTGAACCTCCTCTCTGTCAAAAGACTTCTAGGGATTTTCAGCATGTGGAGGAAGATCAGAAAGTCTCTGTGGAACTTCTGCCAAGCTGCTGAAGTCAGCGACTCTTCCCACACTCCCCTGGGTCTCGTCAATTCTTATCAAAGATTCAGGGGTGGCAGCAGCTGCCTTTCCATTTCAGAAAAGGGAAGACCAGAGTCCAAAAAAAGAAAACTAACATTGGGAAGCACAAGGCTTCTATCAAATGTCAGGTTTTCTGTCTCTGACCATCAAAGGGACTTAGGCTTGTGTGGAAGTAGATGTCAAAGCCCACATTAGTCTGCTCAGTGGGTGCCAAGGACAGGAGCTTTTATTTTTGTGTATACTTGCAAACGTTGGTGGTTGGGACCCAGAAGTTAAGGGGAATATGTAGGGTCAAGTTTGGAAGCTGCTTGACCTTCCGCAGTTCTGTCTTTAAAACCTCGTCCCATTCATTCAGCTTGTTAGGTGTCTGCCCGGCTAACAAAGCCCAGCCTCCTATCTCTACACACTGAAGGCTTCTTGGAGGGCTTACAAAGCATTTTGAAGAGTTAAATGTAAATGAATCAGGAACACATGGATTCAATTTCCCTGGAAATTCACATGTGCTTGGAAATGAAGGGGGGCAGTGTCTGGCCAAATGTGCTTTGATTTATCTGACCCCAAAATAGACCCCTTCCCTCCCCTTTCTTCCTCTCAAAATCATTCAAAACTTTGCTTAATGTCAAACCATGGCTGGGTTCTTGAGACCCTTGAAACCTAGAGTGGTTTGATTCCTGGAATGCTCCACTGAGTTAAAAAGGGCATTCAAGGGAGCCTTATTCCACCACCACCACCCACCCACCCACACACACACACCAACCAAAGGATCTCACATGGTTTTCTTCTATTTAATGGGGTTAAATTAAGGCAAGGTTGTGATGATGTTAGTTCAATCACCAAGCTAACCACCTACTGCAATCTATGGGAACGCTTGCTTCCTGTGGTGAGCATTCTCATTCACAGGACATGGCCCTGCAAATCATTTCTGCCAGTAAAAAGCAGGTTTGTTTTTGTCTAGGAAACCACCACCGCTTGGGTGAAGGGGTAGAATTATACGACCATCACCATCCTCATCATCATCTCCATCCTCCTCATCATTATCATCACTGCCTTTCAAAAACTTCCAGTGTTTGAAAGTTTCAGAACTCCTTTTAAAATAAGTATCACATTTAATAGCCAGAACTGTCCCTTGCATGAGCATTAAAGATGGGATGGTTTGGAACCTCTGGAAGGCTGTCAGGAGAGAGAGCCTGCCCTGGAGGAGCTGGGCTGGTTTTGCTAAGGATGCTTTAGACTCAACTGCTTGGTTCCCTTCTCTTTTGAAATTTTGGTAGACAAGAAAGAGAAAGGGAAAGGGAAAGTCAACTTTTAACATTAAAGTCTCATCACAGACAGGGATCAGACTGCTGTTAATCAGAGGTTAATACTGACTGCAGTAATTATTAGGATAATCAAGAAGCAACTAGGAAAAGCTTCCATGTTCATTCCTTGTCAGCATTAATTGGTTTTGCTGTGTCCCTCTGTTTTCTTTTAGGCCAGTGGTCACGACGCGAGCCATGTCCAAACTCATAATGCCCAAACTCATTAGTCAACAGAGCCGCGGTTTGCCACTCTGTTGACTAATGAGTTTGCCAATCACTGGATTAGACTAAATGTTACTGTGTAGTTGGAAGCTGTGAGGTTTAGGCAATTGTGGCATATTGTATATAAAGAGGTAAGGGTAGCATATGACAGTGGTCAGCAAACTCATTAATCAACAGAGTGTCATGGTCCTCCTTCCTGGCTTGCTATCTCCCTACCCACCTGGCTAATGTTTTCTTGGTATCACTCACAAATACTTCTTCTTTCTGTTATGGTATTGTCCTATGAGAATGTTTGAAGTGTGGTGACTACCAAAGGGGGCCATTTAGTGGCCTTAATGACAAAGAGAGGGCAGAGCAGGAAGGTGGTTGGGCTACTTCTGGCTAACTCATGGACTAGCCTGGCTATGCCTCAGCCATACTCTCTCCTTTCTTTTCCTAATCTTTTTCTTCTCTAGAATTTCTGCTCCCAGTATGTTTAATGACTGGCTCCTCCCAGGCTCCTTGAAGTTCTGGTTTACATGGAATGAAACCCCCATACCTTCCCTGATTTTTGCCTGTAATATATAATCCTTTCTTTTCCTTTATAACATATCATCATCTACAATGGTATTATTTATTTGTTTGTTTACTTGTTTACAATCTTTTGCTCCTTAGGACTGAAATCTCTTTTGGGTAGGGATAACTTTCAACTTGTGCACCACTGTTTTCCCAGTGCTTAGAAAAACCTGACATATATTGTAGAAGCTGATCAATAAAATTTAAAAAAAATCACTGATTAATGGGTTATTCAAGCTTGTAATGCAAATGTTGAAGGTAGTATCCTTTTGAAGGAATATGGAGCTAGAAACTAATAGCCATAGTGAGCAGTGGAGATCATACATTTGATTTTAAAGACAAAGTACTTTAAGCAACTATTTTTATGCATATAAAGTGAGTAGGTTTTCATTCTACAAAGGCAGGCAATATTACATGCTGATCACTCTCTCTCTGTTTTTAATCCTCACCTGAAAATAAGGTTATATTGATGAAAGAGAGAGAGACAGAGAGGCATTGATGAGAGATAAACATTGTTTGTTGCCTCTTTTACGTGCCCAACCTGGGATCAAACCTGAAAACTAGGTATGTGCCCTGACTGGGAATCAAACCCTAAACCTTTTGGTGTATGGGACAATGCTCCAACCAATTGAGCCACCCAGTCAGGGAACATCAATCACTCTTAATCATGTTCTCTGTGAGATGCTGGGATAAACATGGGGCAGGACAGATTCCATTCATAGTATCCTCTTTGACCATTCTAGCCAGTGAAGAAGTTAGATATCTCACAAGTCTGATGAGTGTGACAAGTCAGAAAGTGCTTACACAGTACCAACTGCAATGGTGGCAAATTCCTACATGAAGTAAGTAACTATAAGTCATATCAAGCAAGCTTTTATTGAGTTTTATAGGAGTGTGGTACATACAGAATTACCTTGTTATTTAATTAGTGACTGTTTCTATCTCAGATAAGTGCATAAAAAAGGATCAAAGTTCTCAAAGACAAAAATGAGTTTTTTTCTTCTTTGGGTACATAAAGATAAAGGGAAATAAAATCAAGAAAAATAAGAAAAAAGGTGGGTGGAAGGTTATTTCTCTACTCAACATAAATTATTTGATATTGTGCTAAAGTTGGTTGAAGTT